CCCAAAAGAATCTATCTCGAGGACCGTCGAATCCGCAACAGCCATTTCCCGCGATCGAAAACTCTCTCTCTGTGTGCGCGCGCGCGCGCGCGCCGCGTGTCTGTCTTTTTCTTCTCACAATTTTAGAAACGACTGCGCCTCCTCCTTTCTCCACCGATCTTTTCTCTCCTACGGATCCGCCTTTAACGTTTGCAAATTATCCTGGACCACGTTTCGAGATGGATTTATCCGGCGAAACTAATTGACTCGACTTCAACCGACTGAAGTTTTTTTCAAACGTTACTAACCCCTTTCACCACGATACTTTTCTTCGTTTTTATCGTAGCTTCTTCTTTTTTTTTTTTTTTAAAGGTACACTGTATATGCAGGGTGTCCCAGGTTTTAACGGCCAAACGTTGTCAGTATATTCGATGGGTTGAAATTAGAAAAAAATGTTATACGTTGCTAATGTTAAATGGTTGCCACGATCTGGCAAAAACTACTGAACCGATCGAACTGAAATTTTGCACATGTCTTCAGAACATGTGTGGCTATGGCCGGTAGTAGAATTATGCCAAAATATACATTTTTCTGACTTTTAGAGCCTCTGAAAGACGAAAAAAAGTCGAAAAAATCGATACTTCGTATTCAAAGTTCCGCCATTTTTTAAATTTTCAATATTTTTCTTTTATTCTACTACCGACCATAACGACATGCATACTAAATAAGAATCACTTGGATTTTTTTATATCTGATAAACAAAACAGTTCAAATCATGGCAACCATGGACGTACTTTTTTCTTTCATGCTCCTGTTTGACGTGTTCCACAGCAGCCATATTTAATTATTTTCCAACAAAAAAAATTTGTAATAATTCTTCAAGGACAAGTAAATACATAGGAATAAAGCTCGTGTTACTAACTGTTACCGTAGTTCTGTAAGAAATTAGCAAAAAAGACCTGAAAAAACGGCCGTCACACTAGAAGACCCCCTTAAGAGAGAAGTGACACGAACGAAACTCGAACGGTACGAAAGTTTCTTTCTGCCATGATCATATTTGTCGCGAAACTATTCCTCTCTGTGCGACATGCTTCTATATGCGCAACGAACGAAAGTTTCCGCGCGTATTTCGACTGATGTAGTTCGGGTAATTAGAACACTTTGCGAACAACCAACAAATGTTCCGCTGTAAAACGTAACCTGAAAAAATATTTGGCGAGAAAGTTCGACGAAGAGATCAAATTGAAGAAGAAGATTGCTCGAGATAAATGTCGCAACCATTACCAATAATTTCGAAGCTTCCTACGAGCGTAATCTCCGTGAAAATACACCACGTACGAAAATTCGATGTCGAACATAACCTCGAAACGTTTCGCGAGCAGACCACGGGTGAAGAGATAAATCGGAGAAATGGTTTCGAAATAAACGGCACGATAATTACCAATAACGTTCGAGCTGCGTACGTATATAATCTCCGTGAAAACGCCTCCACCTTTAGGGCGGCGAGACCATGCTCCACTTCCACCGACCTTTCCTCGCGGTAATATCGCTTTCGAGGCGGCGCGAGGGCACGTAAGATTCACAGAGCTCTCACATAATGATTCGTTAGTCTCCCCGTGCAGCCATCGTAGGCTACCTACAGAGCACGACTTCGAACGTAGACTTCGAGTGGCCGTAAGTGGATGGTACCGCAGGGTGGCGGTGTACACACACGTACACACGTACAAGCGACATACCGGGAGCTCGTTTGGTCTCTATTTGTCCCCAGAAGTTCAAGAGTCTGTTATATATATATATATATGTATGTATGTATACACACGCGTGTATACATATATACGCGCGTGTGTGCGTGTGTGTGTGCATTATATATATATATATATAGGGTGTATCCGAAATCGTGGTACAATCGAAATGGAGGTGAAGTGTAAGATGAAAGTGTGCAATGAAATTCTGCACTTCTTGTGGAAGTGCTTTTGGTGTGGTCATAAAATTGTTCGTATCATTTTATGAAAACTTAGAAATTTTGTGTTTTCAATAATACCGGGTTGGGACAAAAGTTTGTAGCTTTTGTCAAACCACCTGGATTGCCCAGAAAAATGCCAAGTTCTGTGAGGATAGAATTATGAAACTGTGTCGAAGATAGAGAAAGATAAGTAGAAGAAAATCTATGTACAAATTGAATTTCGTTTAAATATACCGTTATTTATTGTGTTCAGCGCATAGATAGACGAAACGAGGTATAATTGCAATGTGAACGTGATAATTTGATTACCCGACTGTACTTCCCCGAATCGAGAGGTTCGTTTGAGAACATTTCGAAGAGTATCGAGTATCTGTCCGTGCAACGGAGTATTTTCATAAAAAAGAATAACGAAATTCCGAAGATTCTGCACTGTTCTCTCGTCAATGGTAACACAATTTCAGACCCACCCTGTAGAAAACGATCAAGCTGCAAGCCGCGCGTTTCGTGCCTCTCCCTGTCTCTTCTTCGAGCCTCTCTTTCCGCGTCCCGCTTCCGAGACTGGCCTTCATGGCCGGCATTCACGGCTCGGGCGAGATCCGAGTGCCATCGAGTCTGAAACTCGTTATCGAAACTTATGCGCGCGAGCGCGAGCACGCCCCTGGCGAACCAACGCGAAAATCCGCGGCTGATTGCAATCAACCCTCTTTGCGGACTTCCGCGCTCCATTCCGCAAGAGACTTCGGGGGAGTCCCCGACGACTTCCGGTTTAGGGAGAGGCGAGCGAGCGAGCGCTCGCCTTCCGCTTTCAAGCAGCCCGCCGTTTAACGTCTAAAGTCTGACTTTTACTCGTTCGAAGATCTTGCTCGATGGATCGCCGATTTTACGTTAGCAAAAATCGGTCGATAATGCTAATTTAGGTTACGAGAGTATCGGTACGTTGATACGTCTTCGCGAAAAATCGTTTCGATTTTGTTGTTTATCGAAATTGTGGGAAAAATAATAATAGAGAGAGTACGATTTTCTTTTTCGATGTCGTTGAGAAAGTTAACCTAACCTGCTTTACAACGGTACACACGCTAGCTGAATTGTGTTATTCGTCATTAACGATTCGTTTAATCGTGAACTTTATGAACGATACGTAGGAGGAATCGTGCATGTACTAGATGAACAGCGAGCGGATTGAACAGAGAGACGCGCGGTAGACAAAACGGCAGACTGAACGAGGGGACGAGCTACCAGGATGCAACCAATGAGCTGCGCAACAATTATTTATTGTTGCCAGACTGCCGCATCGAGCCGAGCAGACCTGTCTGCCCAATGAAGATTGCTCGTTAAAATCTGATTCTGGCCGGACCGCTTTAAATGGCCACCGCCGAAACGATTCGACTAAATGAGCCCCACGCACGGAGGAAACGAAACTAACATTAACATAATTACGCGCATTATGATTTATTCGAATGTGAGAAAAATTGCCAAAATCTGATGTGCTGCTCGATGAAAGAAAGAACAATCGAATAAAAGTGGAGATACGAATTTCGTTAAATCGCTACCGCTAATCTAACCTAAAAGAAAAAAAATAATTAACCGTTTAAGCCGTTTCGAAACAGTTCCGTTGGTATGGTAAAGAAGGCAATTTACTTTTTACACGAAACGCAATCGCGGCACATATCGTTAATCGTCACGCTGATCGAAGTCCAGCGAGAGAGAGAAAAATTTCGGGTTCCTAAGACAATATTTACATGTCGTTCAGCCAGAAAACGACTCTCTGGCTGACGATTTTACCTGGTCGAATTCCATCTCCTCTGCCTCGAACAAACACACCTTCTTGAGGACTATTTTCGACGCGCCTGCCCATCGTTCTCTACGATTTGCTTAACACTCTCGTTGGTAGAGTAGCGGACGTGTCAAATTCTGCGACTCTAACACGCTGAAAACCACTTTAAAAATTGACGACACCTACTTTACTTGAGATTTGCACCAAGGAACAGAGATATAAAGTTTTATAACAACTTATAGTCGAGAAACTTTTACACACAACGATACTGGAACACTTTATGTTTCTAGGTTACAAAATAGGATTGCTTTGAGAAAACTAACGACGCTGTGAATACGTAACATATAGATCGATTTCCACCAATGACAAAGCGAGCTTAACCATTGGCTCAGAAGCGTCTGCTAATTTCAGAGATTTTCAAGCAGTCTGAAGTCGGCCTATAGCGATAATCGAATATCTATTCGACGGCAGTCGCCTCGACGTTTCTGGCTAACAACTCCGAGGCAACCAACGCCCCTGAGGTCGATCGATCCGATTGGCCGAGAGACGTAGATACACCCACGCGTACACCCACCACCTGCTCCCTGCAATTAATCTGCTCTCAGCAATTAATCCTCGTTCGTGTGCGTGTATATATAGGGGCGACGCGTGTGTGCGTCGTTTCTCGAGCATCGTGTTCCATAGCAGAAGCAGCTGGACCAATACGATTGATCGGGATCGAGATGGATCGCGTTGTCATTACGTTGTAATCGGTCGTGTTTAGGTTGTGTTATACATGAATAATGATTTATACAGGTAGGAGGAGTTTGAACCAGCCAATGAAACTAGGAAAGGTGTGTATTATTTGAAATATTTGATCGTAAAACGTAGGAAGAGGTTTTAGTAGCACTGTTTCCATATTTCTATTGGAATAAGAAAGTTATGAAATAGAACGTCACATGTGACGTCATTAGAGTAAGTAACGCAGTAGTCTTATTGGGCCAGTTGATTGGAGGCAAATTAAAAGATACGCTTCTAACCTAAAAATATAGCGATTCTTTTCCAAATCTATATCTATTACCTTAACAATATCATATCTACGGTTAACATTTCATTTCTATGCTTCAAAGTAAAACATGTCAGTGGATTGAAAGAATTGCCAACTGTCACTCTACGATCCCACGTGAACACGTGATTGTAAATCGAACGTGGGATCGATATAATGGCGGAATTTTTTCCCGCCAGACGGTAAACAATGAAATAAGAAAAAAAGAAAAAAGAAAGAAAAACATTTAACACACATACCTGAGTGGGCGTAAGGTTAATTAGGGCGGCTAGGTGTTCTCGTTCAGGCGCGCTCAGGTATTTCTGCTGCTTGAACCGCCTCTCGAGCTCGTGAACCTGCTGCTGAGTGAACAGAACGCGACGCTTTCGTCTCTGGGGAATGTGGGGGAATTGCATCGCGCCGACGCCCATACCGACGCCGACGCCGACGCCGACGCCCACTCCCATGCCCGACGACTTCGTCACGTCGCCCATTGACTGGCCCACCGAACAGGCGGCCATGTTGGTCCCGGCGCCTGCTGCCGCGGCGCCCATGAGCCGCGAAACTGAAACATTAGAAACATTTATGACAATACGCAATTTTTCTTTTCAGATTTTAACATCGAAAAATTTATCAGCTGTTGGCTTGAACAATTACAGATGAGCTTTTGGGCCTGATTGCGTAGGTACTTTGTTTGGAATGAATTAAAATTGATTAAATTCTGAATATTATACAGGGTGGTTCATAAGTCACTTTACCGTTTTAAAGAAAAGTTATTGAATTTTTAAATAGTAACTACCCTGTATAAAAATTGAATCTTGTTTATCTTATAAAAAACAAGTTTATTAAACACTGAATATTACAGTTTCCTATGTTATTCGACGTAATAAAATGTTCTCTCTTTATTTCTAGATAAATAATTTTCTATTCTAAAATAAATTTCTGGAAATCATCGTCTACCATCCATTATTATCATTTTACGAGAAAAACGTGGAAAGAATATCTCGGAATAAAACCACCCACAAAATGCACAAGCTTCACTCGAACGAAAATGGCGCAAGGATACCTCTTCATCGAAGCTCACCCTTCACTCTGCCATCACAAAGAGCTCACAACGGATAAAAACCGAATCGCTGAACCTCAGAACATCCATGCAACATCTCTTCATTACTTCCCCAGATGCACATCCACTTTCACAGACCATATCTTCACTGTCATATAAGTACATTCGTACGAGCATATTCTTCTACATGGTTCATCTGTTGAGAAGAGAACATCCAACTTCCCGCCACCAAGCTACAGTTGGTGCCCAACACTGTGACGGACTCGAGATAATTTATCCCGTTGGAATCCCGTGGAGGATCGCGAGAAGAAGAAGCACGGAGAGGAGGTCGAGCCTCTGAATTCGAGCTACTGAAACCCAACGAGCAGTCCATCCCTTGTCAGTTGGCGAAGGGCTGTCAAGAACGGACACGCCGGGCCTGGACAAAAGGAGCGATTTAGCCGCGCAAAGTGCTACGTCATCGAGCACGGGAGGTCCGACGATGAAGTCCCGAATTATTATTATGTCTGTGAGAACGTATTCTCGGGCTGTCAGGCCATGCCTGGCCCGGAAAGAAATACCACTCAAGACACCAAACACTACAGAATTTGTTTACGCGTGGTGCTTATTGGTGGCTTCGTTTGGAAAATTGCTGAAAATCTGATACCACCAGATTGTCCGAGGACTGAGTGAGTAAGGACAGCTTTGGAATTTTAAGGTGTTTCGATAAGAGCTTCTTTAAGTTGTTAGTAAGGATGTGTTGATTGAATTAGTTTTCTTTTCTTTGTTTCAGATAGGAAGATAGAAATATTCTGATGTTGTGGAATGTATAGGAGATGATTGAATGTATACGAGGAGTATGAGAGAAATTTGTAGAAATTTTTACAACGATGAAGAAACATAGAACATTCTTAGTAGACAGCATTAACAGTATCAGAAGGAAAGATATCGCAAACTACTTGCGTCACAATGGAAACGAACACTTTACGAACTCATCCAGTAACTTCCTAGTCATTCACGAAACGTATCCCTCGATAAAGTTCCAAGACTACCATTGGAGAAGCAATGAACGCTGGACCAGGACAATGGAAGCCTGGCGAGGAATGACGGGTTCAACGTTTCGACGAAACTTCTGCGAACACGGGGGTGGATCATTCTGACTATGGCGTGTAAGAATATCATTAAGCAAATTGACGTTTTCTACCTGGCCACCGAAGTCGAATCTCCCATTAAAGAGAACCCTCGAACCGTTGCCTATCGGACATATAATTATGTGATATCACAAGTATGACAGACAAACAAAAATTCCATTCCGTTGGTATGAAAAAATCATAGTGTGAATGAACTAGGAACAAACTTTCTTCTATTCTTAACAACTCTATTTTAAAGATAATTATGGATTATGTACGATATTTTATGTCAGGATACCACAAAGGGTAAGCAAGATATTATCTCGAGGATGGTTCTAAGTCAAGGCTTCCTACATTATTCCTGACTTAACAAAAGAGACAAGCAAAATGTTGATCCTTAAGAACAAGCTATGGACTATGTTCTATATTCTATTAATAGCTCTCTATCAGAGGAGACAAGGAGGAGCTTGTTCTGAGAATAAACAATAGACTTTCTCCTGATTTCTTGTTCCTGGTGGATATTATAGAATAGAAACCACAACAAAATCTTCCTGTTCTATTCAGACATCACCGAAGAGGAGAGAGAATCGGAGAATTTTATTTCAAAAAATGATCCATAAACAAACCTATAATATCCTATTCTAATGTCGTCTGATTGAATGTAGTGTTCTTTATGTATCTTTCTCTGCTTGTTCTCTGCAGATCTTTGAGGATGAACGATTGCAGAGATTGAATTTTGAATTGGAAAACGCGTTCTGCGCATGGAGTTAAGGCAGGAAAGGGTCGTCCAGACTTATTTGTTTAACTAAAATCTCCGGCAGTGTCCGGTAGCCACGCATTTCGGAGCTGAGGATCGATACGTTCTCTAGTGGCGCGTGCGGCCGACAGAAATCCAAGGAGACGAGCGTCTGTTGACACAAGCGCGAAGGACGCGCGTTTTGTTGGCCGACAATCTTTTTCTACGGCCTCCGAAACGCGAGATACCTCAGGGATCGCGATATATTGTCAAGTATGGTTCGCTACGTTTAGTGTCTATGTAGATTCGATTCGCCGTTTAAGCGGTACTTAAGCTGGAGGATGGTTGAAAAGTGAATAGGTAGAAATAGATAGAACGATCAAACTCTGGTTTCACTAGTTTTATTTTATTGAGGCCATTTCATGAAAATGGAACAAGTAATTTAATGAGAAGCTCGAAGAAGGACCTTTAAATTTGAATTTGAAAATTGATTTCGCATTTTCATAGATTGTAGTGTTTGATTAGACAAATAGTTGAGCGGAGCATGGACACATGGAAACATTGAGGGCGACGAGCGGCGAGCGACGGAAGAATTCATGAGTTCATGTAACGGGAGCGACGTGACGGAAGGACAGGCTATTGTGGACTTTGAAACACGAGCCTGATACTTCATCGATGGCTAAATGGACCTAAGTGCGAGCTAGCAATAACAGAGCTAGACACGAGGCCAATAAAAGCGGGACAGACGTGCCTTGTCGAAGGCGAAAGGGATGATCGCGTGCAACGCTGACGAAAACGCGTTTCCTTCTTTGGAGAATGAAGTATATTTACCATTGCCTTCTCTGTATTATGCATTTCTACACAGAGAATCTCCTTTCCTTTACATTGCAAAACGAGAACTCGACATTTTTGATAACTGGAGAAGCATGAACGACGATTTTTTGGAATAATTATACATCGAAAGGTTTCACTCAATTTATATTAAATACTTATTCTTCACTCGATAATTCTTCATCACCCCCAATAATTTCAAACTCTAGAAACATCTCCTAACAGAATTATCTAACTTCCCTGCTACTCCAAAACCTACATTACAATTCTCCATCGTCAAACCCTTACATCACTATTCTCAACATCATTCTCTTTCCCCTTTGCTCTCCAATAAACCAAAAACTGAAATCTCATATCCTTTTCAGGTACACCTAACCTACCCCACCAGAGTTACCCAAGACCTCGTATATACAGGGTGATAAAGAAAAAGTGTTTAGAACTTTAAGGGTAGATTTTGTATTCGCTCTCTGTAACTGTTCACTGATTGCAAGAATATGTAACGATATAATAATCCAATGATATGATACGTGTATAAAGCGAAAAGAGAACAGATAAGCAATTGTTCCTAATCAACACGATAGCTTCTGAAGCGAGTAAACCCCTCGCTTTAACCAAAACGAAAAATTATCTATACCTTCGAAAATAATTTTTCGACATACTTTTTTATTCATACATTTTCCTCCATTTTAGTACTATCTACCCTTAAACTTCTCAACCCTTTTCCTTCTACCACCCTGTATATAACGCAGGAGCACATACTGCAGCCCGCGAGAAAACTGTCACAAATGGAAAGCAAGCAATTTTTCAGAAGAGCAAAAAGGAAATGTTTGTTAAGAAAATTACTTAATCGCAGCATTATGAAACATACATCCGCTATAATTGAACTTTCGACATTTCTTCCGATGGTAAATTTATATATATTAAAATACACTCCAAGCGATAAAATGAAAATTGCAAATGGTCTGACTTATGACACTTTCCTCACAGGGGTGCGATATATATATATATCAAAGAAGGGAGAAATACTACTCACTGGCGAAGCGTGGGTCGTTGGTTGCCGGCGGTGCAGGCGCGTACCACGGATGATGTGATCGCATAGGGTCGGTTGCGGTCGCGCCTCCAGCAACTCCTGGACCCCCATGATGATACGATAATTCCGCGGCGCAATACTGATACTGAGATGTGAGTTGCATGGTCGCGTAAGGATTGCCCATTGCGGTCATGCCTGGCCCGGCACCGGCAGCGCTGCTGCCTCCTCCGGTGGCGTCGTTTGGCCCGGAAACCGGTCCGGGTGTGCCGCCACCGGGCGTCGAGCCTCCGTGAATCGGTGGACTGCCGCTGCTCGCGCTCGAGCTACCGGTATTGCCGCCCACACGGGCGCCACACGCGTTACCGTAAGGCGAGACCTGAGAATGCGTGACCACGCCGACTCCAATCACCTGCTCCAGCTTCCTGAACGACTCGTTATCGATGGGCGAGAGGATATCTGTGACGCTGAACGGTGTGGTATGAGCGCCACCAGCGGCTTGTACGTGGGATGAATGCTGTTTGGGCGATAGGCTCATCGCCAGGTCGATACCGTTCAGATCGGTCAGCAGGCTAGCTTGTTCCAGCTGTGTCTGCTGTTGTTGTTGCTGCTGTTGTTGCTGTTGTTGTTGTTGTTGTTGCTGTTGTTGATGTTGATGATAGCTGGTGGCATTGCCGTTCCCCTGGTTGCCGGCGTTGTTCCCGCCGCTGCCACCGCTCATCTCGACGAGGCCCGCGCCCTCGAGATACTTGAAGCTCGCGCTTCGCGGAATCCTGAGACCGGCGCTAGCCGAGGGATACCGACATGATTGGAGCACCGCTGACTCTCACTGAGTCAATCTTCGGTTTAAAAAAAAGGGGAGGAATTTTTAATATTATTTTATATTTCACCAGCCATTGGTTTCTTTTTATGGATTTTTTTTTAACGAGATTAGTGAAATACTTTTCATTAAAATGTTTTTACGGTTTTACACAGTTTCTTTGTATTTCTTTTCTTCTCTTTTTCAGGTTGTCAGTATTTTGTTCTTATAAAGTAAAAGAAGACTCATTTCACTTGGCACTTTATACGAACGGTTCACGATAACACTCTCTGCAGTTGCATTCATAGGTAGTACACTGTGTATAATAAATAATCCAGATTGAACACACGATCACTTATATATTAATTCATCGTAGGTGGAAACTGGTGTACAATTTATGAACTGGTTTCATAGTTCACCGGCGGATCAACCGATCCGACACAGTTCACGAAATGCGTCCATCGCACCGGTACCCGCGAGCTCGACTGCTGCTGGACGCGTCCAGCGACGACACCGCGTCATCCACCGCGTCATTTCTATGTCCAGACTTGTACGATGCCAGAACGAGGTCAAACACAAACGTCGAAGTATAATACACCACTGGTCAACGTTGATGGTCAAGGGTAACAACAGAGAACTATGTGCGGTTTCGTAAAGTCACCGACTAACTGTCTACCTTGTGTTGGCTTGGTTGTAAATCAGTCTCTCACTCCCTCATGAATATCCTCCCTTAAGGAAGGGAGTGTAGTATCGCGCGCGCACACGACTGATCGGACGACTAGTTTGCAGGACGACGAGAAGGAAGGAGGTTAGAATTGGCTGTGGTTGTCACGTCACGAACGACACCACCTTTACGAACGACACTCCGTCTAGTCTCACCGGCGAACGAGAAACGCGAACGAAACGAAAGGAAATGTGACGATGAAAGAACGGAAAAGCAATGGCACACACGTGGTCGAGGGAGAGTGGCCGGCCAGAGCCGGCCGGCGGCCGACTGAAATCACCCGGGGGGTCTTCGAGTCCTTGGACTCTGCCGATAGAGAGACGATGGTAGATGTACCACTCTACGGTTCGCCTCCACCTTCGTCGAGGATACACTCTCTCTCCGTAGGAGAGGAGAGAGCGTCTATGGATGGATGGCTTGCTCTCTGGCTGGCTTGCTGGCTGGCTCGCTGGCTGGATAGATGGATGGATGGATGGATGGATGAATGAATGAATGAAGAGGACTGTCGGGTACTCCTGGAGAGGTCCTTACGGCCGCTTAGACCCACT